CCTTTTCCGCCGGGCAGCTTTCCAGCCCCTCTGCCCCACGCCTGGAGCGTTGTGTTGGGTTGTGGTGACCCCAGGGCAGGACCTGGCCCTTGGCCTTGTTGAACCTCACCCCATTGGCCTGGGCCCATGGATCCAGCCTGGCCAGGTCCCTCTGCAGAGCCCTCCTCCCCTCCAGCAGATCCACACTCCCGCCCAATTTGATGTCATCTGCAAACTGACTGAAGGTGCCCTCGATCCCCTCATCCAGATCATTGATGAAGATGTTAAACAAAACTGACCCCAGCACTGAGCCCTGGGGGACACTGCTTGTGACCGACTGCCACCTGGATTTAACTCCATTGACCACAACTGTCTGGGCCTGGCCATCCAGATGGTTTGTTACCCAGCAAAGTGAACGCCTGTCCAAGCCATGAGCTGCCAGCTTCTCCAGGAGAATGTGGTGGGAGGCAAAAGCCTCACACCCACGCAGAGGCTCTTACCCCCTTCATCGTCACCGCTGTCTGGACCTTGGAGGCCACCGCATCCACCCGGGAAGACATGCGGAGCCAGTTGAGCCCCTCGTTCTTCTTGCGGATGGCATTCTCCGCGTAGACACGAGCGCACTCCACATTCTTCTGCTGAAGAGCCTGGAAGGGCAAAGGGACAGTGAGTGCACCCCAGGTTTATAAAGAAGCGCGCTTTGATTCTGCTTGACAGGTTTCCAGCAGGAAACAGCTCTTCCATCACCCTCAAAATGCTGATGGGCGTTACACCCCTCTCAGCATCGCAGGGGTGCAGCACACCCATCTGGCACATTTGAGAGCCAAGGGTAGGACTTGAAACACTCAGAGGCCAAGCTCCAACATAGCGAGGCCTGCGGGGGGGATCCTGCCCCCTTCCCTGGTCCCTTGGGGGAACACGCTTGGCAAGGCATGGTGGGAGGCAGCCCCCCCAGCCTCTCCGTGCAGGGTGAGCTCCCACCCACCTTTTTGACTTTGGCTTGCTCGGCCTTGGAGTCTTTCTCGGCTTTCTTGGCGAGCTTCTCCAGCTGCTTTGCAGAGGATCCCAGAGCAGCCGGCAAAGCGGGAAATCCATTTTCCCCGCTTCCGAGACGGGGAAGGCCAGGAAGGGCAGGCCCGGAGGACAAACCCAGCTAACGGGCTCCCTCTTCCCGCAGCCACCGGAAGGCGGGATCTCTGCAGGCCACAGCCTCTTTCTGTTACGGGGCCGCGGCAGGCCCCAGGCCTTTCCTGGAGAGGT